AGCCCGTTTCCACTAAGTGCTATTGGAACAACTCGGTTCAGTATGCTTTTATAGCAATTTTTACTTTCAAAAGGTGCCTAAAAGCAAACTGTATCGTACCACATTTTGGGTACTGTTATAAACCCCTGATGTTAGTCTAGGGGATGGTGGGGTTTGACATTGATTTAATTAAAATATATTTATACAAACAGTGAAACAGAGTGCAAAAGACAACCAAAGTAATGCCAAAAATATGTGCTTTTATTTATACTCCCCAAAAGTGAACAACAACAACAACGAATTAATCAAAAAATAAAGAAAAAGTAGGTAAGGCAAAAATATACTATTTACAATATATACAACACTGAGACAAATAAAGACAGGAAAAAACAAGAGAGCTGGCAGAAGGGATGCGGGCGGCGCTAAAGAAATGAAAAGAACAAAACCCAAACTAAAATTAACTCCCCAGAAGCATCTAGCTAACTAAGTATGTGAAAATAGTATAATTAAAACGCAAAGTTCTTCCGAGTCCTGACTGTCTACTCTATCTATCTATCCAAAAAGTACAAGGGGTGGTGCTCGCCCCTAACCTAATGTACTAGACAGCAGAGTAGTCCTATGTGTTGCAATGCATGTCACGTGACCTTCTTACCTGTCCGCTTCGTCCAAGCCTCGTAAACAACGTAAACTGATTAGGATATACGAATAACGGACGGATAGTGTGCACACAGAAACGAGCAACAACAAAATACACAGTTAGACGGGGTTTTCTAAACGCACGCAATAACACAGACAAGTGGAAAAAGCAGAGACAGAAGTCAAGAGAGCGAGAAATCAAGGGACTAGTGAGTGGTCTGGCGTGCGCTTTTATGACGGGTGGTCTTGGCTTATTGGATGTGACGTAAGAGTGACGTAACCGAAGAGGAATGACTGACAGCTGAATGGACCAATGAACGGTACCTGAGAATACATTAAAGCAGATATGGGAGAACAGAGCAAGAGAGCAAGAGAGAGAGAGGAAAAAAATCACAGCAACAGAGCACAAATAACACAAATACATAACAGGTACCCTTTGCAAAGGGTACCTAGCACAACAAAGGAGTACCAAAAGGTGTAGAAAGGCGTGCAACTGAACGCTATTGGTTTACAGAGATACATCACTCACTCGTGCACACGACAGGGGAAAGAAAACAAAGGAAGCACCATTTTTAAATACACAGCAGAGAATACACTGTAATACTATATACATATAATAACAAACCATGTCGTCGTCTTGATGTACAGCCACAAAGCCAAAAAGAGCAGAATCTACCCTGTGCCCCATAGTTATTTACAAGGCCTTCTAAAGGGCGAGCAGTTTCACTTTCTCGCTTGCATGCGAGTCTATGTTTGAAATAACAAACTTCTTAAGCTGATGATAATCACATGAGCGTAATTGTTGAAGTACTTCTGACATTAGATTTTTTTCAGAAACAGACAAACGCGAGACTGACGCATGATAAACAAAGGAAAAGCCGGAAAAAACAAACAAGCAAATTATTCTTTCAGCAACATAAAACATGAACAAACTGCCATGTTTAACTATTATCATCAACTTTTGGACTAATATATGCTCAGAATGATGGAAATACTCTCTAAGGGCCTACTGAAAATATGCTATCTGAACCGTGCCCAGGCCAGTTTGCCGGATCGTTTGAGAAGAGTGAGTGCTCTAAATCGTTAGTGTTCTGAATTCACTTGGCCAGCCCTGGCCCGGTTGAAAGAGGTGTGCCAGAGCACAGTTCAGTTGGGCTTTGGTGCGTAACGCTTAAAGTGTGAGTGCAAGCGCACCAGAGTCCAAAACTGAAGATGAAATTTTACTTTTACGGAATTGTTTCATATGGATTGGTATTGGCCAGGGGTGTCCAAACTCGGACCTGGAGGGCCGATGTCCTACATAGATTAGCACCAATTACCTTCAACACACTTGCCTGGAAGTTTTAGTATACCTAGAAAGAGCTTGATAAGCTGGTTCAGGTGTGGTTAATTGGGGTTGGAACTAAAATAAGTAGGACACCGTAGGACCAAGTTTGGGCATCCCTGGAATAGGCATTTACTACCAGCCAGATCATTACTGAGGATGAGTGGCACACCTTTGACAGGTGCTTCATCTCACACTGCCAATTTTAAAATTCTGCATTCGGAAATGTTTAAGAAGACCTGCACAAAAGACAAATCAATTCCTTGAACAATTGCATGGGAATTATACCTTGATTATTCATAAAAAGATAACACACTTTTAAGTATAAAGGGCTGATTTGTTCTGGTATCACAGAGGATATGCACAAGTTTCATACCAGATTCATCATCAAGTAAAGAAACAGTTCCTGCACAAATAAAAAGTTTAAAAGCAATGCCAATATGTTCAGTTAACTCTGTGGAATGTTTGCTTTTCTACTGGATTTGCATTTCAAAGTGGCATAATTAGCAATGAGATGACCAGTCTTATGGCAATAAAACCATTCACGATTTTCAGCGTCATCAGAAATTGGAACATTCTTTGGGATGGTGTAGCAGAACTGTGAGTGTGATCAGAGAAATTGATCTTACTAGTGTAACCTTATGCATTAGCGCAAATTCATTAATGAAAACTGCAGCATCACTATACTACTATACGTCCTGCAATGCAATTTTGAAATTAATACAACAGAATTAGCTTTTTAAGCTGTTGAAATGAGTTGACTTTATTAGCAGTGCACCCTTTATGTGACAAATTTGCATGGTCTCACCAAAAATCATCAAAAGTTTGGCTTGGTTTTTTCACAGAATTGCAGAATTTTGTAAGCTTCGGGAACTAGTTCATAAGCATGTAAAACAGAGCTCTTCAGCTCATTCCATTCCAAGATTTGCTCAAGCTTCAGGGTTGAACAAACTTCTTGGGCTTTTCCAATCTGATTGCACTGTAACAACAGTGGCCAAACAGTACGAGGATAATTTTACATGGCAGAGCTACTTTCAAAAACTGAAATGTGCCAACATCACTTTCGCAAAACAACACTACTAGAAATAACTCACAGGCTTTATTAAATTCTCGTTGACTTACGCCTAGTTCACACTACAGGATTTTAACCATCAGCAGATCGCTGTACCGTTCACACTACATGACTTGACTTTGTGTCTTTTAATCTCTGTGGTGTTCACACTACGCAACACTCCGTGAACGATCCACAAGAGGGGGGTCACACACTACATGATCTGACAACAACTCATTCCCCAACAGCTCATTCAAGCTACCAAACCACAGCCAATGAAAATTTGAGGGAGGAGTCGTCAGAAAAAGCTGAACACTATTGGCTGCTTGTGTGCTGATGAAATAACTGACAGCGTTTCAAGCTTTGGAGAAAGCATTTAAAAACATTGTCAAATCAGCTGATTTATCAGCGCATTAATCACTCATCTGCAAGGTTCAAGTGGAGAAATACACAGAAAGTTTTTAATTTTTGTAATTGTATAACTCTTTAAAATAAAACTAATAAATAACACCCTGCCGTTTTCTAACTATCAGTGTATTTCTTTCTCACATTGTCATTTTTTTTAAATTACAAAACAGTAAAGGACTGAGCAATTCTGCCTTAAATTACCATATTGGTCAAAATGACTGCATGCATGTCTGATACTTTTCGCTGTGACTTTAAATATGTGTGCATTTTTTTGCCAAGCAACTTCCTGCTAACATAAACAAAACTTTCTGATGGCAAAAACATCAATTTACTTCAGATATCTTTCAAAACAGCATATTCTATGCCGCGAAATAGCTTCTGTTTGAAAGTGAAAATGAAAGCCAAGTCCTTTGCATGTTCTAGTATCTTAACTACATATTTATAGGCTGTATTAAAAAAAAGATGATATTTTTAGGGTAATGGTGTCATTAAATATGATGCCAGACATTCAAATCTTAATTTTAATATCTCAATAATAGCTTTGAATGTAAGTATGTTGTGACAATATGGCGTTTCATATGAGAACGGTCAGAATGAGCAGTATGGCAATTCTAATAGTGATAGCTCCACTGTTAATATAGCCTACTCTAATGTCTGTGTTAACACAGAATGAAGCGAGTGCGTTGATGCCCATTCTGACCAATCACAGATGTTTCTGTTGAGCCCCTGAGCACACAGGCATTCAGCTCATGCTGATACGCTCTCTCATTGGCTGCAGCTCGTCACTACATCGGACCACACGTGGGGTTGAGTCGGCCGACTGCTCTGGAATATTTAGCATGCTAAATGTTGGATTTCCATCTGCGAGGTGTCGGCGACGCGTCAGCGAGCCTCGTTGATACGTTGTTCAGTAGTTCACACACAAAGAGCGGCAAGCGCCGTGCACCGACAGATTTCTTCCCGATCACAGCCCGATCTGTCGGCGAGCTCGTTAACTTCCAAATCGGGCTCAAATCAGGCTTAAAATCCTCTAGTGTGAACTAGGCTTTACTTGCATTTCACTTTGAGGTGCAGGAGTGGGACTTTGAGTAATAGTGGTGAAAGATGGCTGTCAACACAGGTACACTCACACCAGGTGAATTGGAAGCTAAGGGGTGAGCAGATTGCTGGGATTGAAGCTTGATCTTAGCTCTTTGAGTCTGATCAAACACTCAGGGTCCTAACAACTCCCTTTACAAGCTGCCACATGGTCACATTTCCAGTGCCACATGTTTTTCAGCATAGAAGTTTGGAAACAGCCATTTGCTAAATTTCCAAATGCAGCGAGATAAAATTTCGGAAAATTTAAGATCGCAATTATAGCTGCCAAGTTTAATTCAACCAAAGCTCATGGTGTTTTCTTTTAATAAGGAAATTGAATTTATTATGACATGTTTGCTACTGTGAATCAAACATATGAATTCATTTTTTGTTCTTCAATTTCTGCATTTGTGTTTTCCATTCCGAATCTAACCATTGCTATTGAACCACAACTACAGTGTGACATTGTAAACGAATGAATAGAGGCATTAAAACATGCAGGAAAACAAAATTATTAAATACATTTAATTAACAATGCTTTCAAAATTTAAATGCATAGGACAAAGCTTACGCTCACATGGCATATGCAAACTTTTATTATAAACACTATGACAGAAATACTTAGAGAAAAATATTTTGTTGCTGTATCAGTATTATTAAAGTTTATATGACAAGCTAGCATTTAAAGATGGCATAAATCACACTGAAACAATGTTAAATAGCTCTCTGATATGTCTGATTTCTAAGGTAAGTGCAATAATTCTCCTGACATGGTTTTGCAGGTGTAGAAGATGTGCAGAGTTACAAAGCTCAAGTTTCAACTGTACTGACTGAAGCCTTTTCCACAATACAAACATTGATGATGCATGTGTTCAGGTCAGGACTTTTATCAAATTTGTCAGACAATTGTCTGTCTTAGTTTTAACAAATACACACTCTTTAAAGTATATGTGGTGCTACTGATTCATTTTGCCCTAACAAAATGAACTTACCAAGTTCTGGACCTTAAATGCAGATATACATTTAGGCATTTCTGGTGTGTGTGCCAAGTATGTTGAAATCAAACTCCCAAGCAACCTTAAAAACGTTTTAAACATTGGAGCATAATAATACTAAAAATATAATAATGAACAGAGCAATTCCAATTACAACCACCACTGCTGGGTTAGGGCCCTAATTCCTTACTAGGATATATTAGCTTTACACAGAGGGTAATAAAGTACAAGAGAATCAAAAAGGGATGTCAAAAATAAATGTAAGTTGAAATTCTTCCTTCCCCCTCCTTGATCATAACCCCAGGAACACCTTTAACTACTATCTTAACTGTGCCTTCTTCAACTGCAGTCTTAAATGAGTCTTCAGCTGCAGTCTCAAATGTGCTACCTTCAACTGCAGTCTCGAATGAGTCTTCTTCATATGCAGTCTCAAATGCGCTGCCTTCAACTGCAGTCTCAAATGAGTCTTCTTCATATGCAGTCTCAAATGCGCTGCCTTCAACTGCAGTCTCAAATGCGTCTCCTTCATATGCAGTCTCAAATGCGCTGCCTTCAACTGCAGTCTCAAATGAGTCTTCTTCATATGCAGTCTCAAATGCGCTGCCTTCAACTGCAGTCTCAAATGAGTCTTCTTCATATGCAGTCTCAAATGCGCTGCCTTCAACTGCAGTCTCGAATGAGTCTTCTTCATATGCAGTCTCAAATGCGCTGCCTTCAACTGCAGTCTCAAATGAGTCTTCTTCATATGCAGTCTCAAATGCGCTGCCTTCAACTGCAGTCTCAAATGAGTCTTCTTCATATGCAGTCTCAAATGCGCTGCCTTCAACTGCAGTCTCAAATGAGTCTTCTTCATATGCAGTCTCAAATGCGCTGCCTTCAACTGCAGTCTCAAATGCGTCTCCTGCAACTGTAGTTTTAAATGGGTCTTCTTCAGCTGCAGTCTCAAATGCGTCTCCTGCAACTGTAGTTTTAAATGGGTCTTCTTCAGCTGCAGTCTCAAATGCATCTTCTTCAGCTGCAGTCTCAAATGCGTCTCCTGCAACTGTAGTTTTAAATGGGTCTTCTTCAGCTGCAGTCTCAAATGCATCTTCTTCAGCTGCAGTCTCAAATGCGTCTCCTGCAACTGTAGTTTTAAATGTATCTTTTTCAACTGCAGTCTCAAATGCGTCTCCTGCAACTGTAGTTTTAAATGGGTCTTCTACAACTGCAGTCGTAAATGCGTCTTCTTCAACTGCAGTCTCAAATGCGTCTTCTTCAACTGCAGTCTCAAATGCGTCTTCTTCAACTGCAGTCTCAAATCCATCTTCATCAGCTCTAGTCTCAAATGTACCCTCTTCATCTGCAATCTCAAATGCCTCTTCTTCAACTGAATTTTCTGCAGTCTGAACTGCACCGCTTTTACCTGAAGTCTCAACTGCACTTCCTTTACCTGCAGTCACAAATGCATCCACGTCGACTGCAGGCTCAACTGAACTGCTTTTACCTGCAGTCTCATCTGCACTGCCTTTGCCTGCAGTCACAAATGCATCTACTTCAGCTGCAGTCTCAACTGTGCCTTCTCCAATTGCAGTCTCATCTGCACCACCTTTATCTGCAGTCTCAACTGCACCACCTTTACCTGCAGTCTCATCTGCACCACCTTTATCATCAGTCTCAACTGCACCACCTTTACCTGCAGTCTCATCTGCACCACCTTTATCTGCAGTCTCAACTGCACCACCTTTATCTGCAGTCTCAACTGCACCACCTTTACCTGCCGTCTCATCTGCACCACCTTTATCATCAGTCTCAACTGCACCACCTTTACCTGCAGTCTCATCTGCAACACCTTTATCTGCAGTCTCAACTGCACCACCTTTATCTGCAGTCTCAACTGCACCACCTTTACCTGCAGTCTCATCTGCACCACCTTTATCATCAGTCTCAACTGCACCACCTTTACCTGCAGTCTCATCTGCACCACCTTTATCTGCAGTCTCAACTGCACCACCTTTACCTGCAGTCTCATCTGCACCACCTTTATCTGCAGTCTCAACTGCACCACCTTTACCTGCAGTCTCATCTGCACCACCTTTATCTGCAGTCTCATCTGCACCACCTTTATCATCAGTCTCAACTGCACCACCTTTACCTGCAGTCTCATCTGCACCACCTTTATCTGCAGTCTCATCTGCACCACCTTTATCTGCAGTCTCAACTGCACCACCTTTATCTGCAGTCTCAACTGCACCACCTTTACCTGCAGTCTCATCTGCACCACCTTTACCTGCAGTCTCATCTGCACCACCTTTATCTGCAGTCTCAACTGCACCACCTTTATCTGCAGTCTCATCTGCACCACCTTTATCTGCAGTCTCAACTGCACCACCTTTACCTGAAGTCTCATCTGCACCACCTTTATCATCAGTCTCAACTGCACCACCTTTACCTGCAGTCTCATCTGCACCACCTTTATCTGCAGTCTCATCTGCACCACCTTTATCTGCAGTCTCAACTGCACCACCTTTATCTGCAGTCTCAACTGCACCACCTTTACCTGAAGTCTCATCTGCACCACCTTTATCATCAGTCTCAACTGCACCACCTTTACCTGCAGTCTCATCTGCACCACCTTTATCTGCAGTCTCATCTGCACCACCTTTATCTGCAGTCTCAACTGCACCACCTTTATCTGCAGTCTCAACTGCACCACCTTCACCTGCATTTTGAAATGCACCACCTGCAACTGCAGTTAAAATTGCACCACCTGCAAGTGAAGTTAAAAATGTGCCACCTGCAACTGATGTCTCCGATGCGCCACCTGCAACTACAGTCCCAAATGTTCCTCCTTCGACTGCTGTCTCAAACGTACCTCCTTCGACTGCAGTCTCAAATCCGTCTTGTTCTACTGCAGTTTCAAATGCGTCTTCTTCAGCTGCGGTCTGAAATGCGTCTTCTTCAGCTGCGGTCTCAAACGTGTCATCTTCAGCTGCAGTCTCAAATGTGTCATCTTCAGCTGCAGTTTCAAATGCGTCATCTTTAGCTTCAGTCTCAAATGTGTCTTTTTCAGCTGCAGTCTCAAATGTGTCATCTTCAGCTGCAGTTTCAAATGCATCTTCTTCAGCTGCAGTCTCAAATGCGTCATCTTTAGCTCCAGTCTCATATGCGTCTTCTTCAGCTGCAGTCTCAAATGCATCATCTTCAGCTGCAGTCTCAATTGCGTCATCCTTAGCTGCAGTCTCAAATGCGTCTTCTTCAACTGCAGTCTCAAATGCGTCTTCTTCAACTGCAGTCTCAAACGCATCTTCTTCAGCTGCAGTCTCAAATGCGTCTTCTTCAACTGCAGACTCAAATGCGTCTTCTTCAACTGCAGTCTCAAACGCATCTTCTTCAGCTGCAGTCTCAAATGCTTCTTCTTCAGCTGCAGTCTCAAATGCGTCTTCTTCAGCTGCAGTCTCAAATGCGTCTTCTTCAACTGCAGTCTCAAACGCGTCTTCTTCAGCTGCAGTCTCAAATGCGTCTTCCTCAACTGCAGTCTCAAATGCATCTTCTTCAACTGCAGTCTCAAATGCGTCTTCCTCAACTGCAGTCTCAAATGCGTCTTCCTCAACTGCAGTCTCAAATGCGTCTTCTTCAACTGCAGTCTCAAATGCGTCTTCCTCAACTGCAGTCTCAAATGCGTCTTCCTCAACTGCAGTCTCAAATGCGTCTTCTTCAACTGCAGTCTCAAATGCGTCTTCTTCAACTGCAGTCTCAAATGCGTCTTCTTCAACTGCAGTCTCAAATTCATCTTTTACTTCCAACACTGGTTTCTTATTTCTTAATACTTTTTGTACTTTAAGAACTTTATTTTTTTCCATTTTTTCTAAGTGTTCAGAAATATCTTCACCATTTTCAAAGTGAATCGGCTTATCATTGTTGTCTAAATCAGCCACAACATAATCATTCCTTTGGGTGACTTTAATTTGGCCCTTTATTTTACTGACATCATAAATATCAATTTTATGGTCACTTCTATATAATGTTTTCAGTCCATGTCTTTCACTTTCAATTTCAATTGGAAATTCCTTTGTGAACTTGATTTTGTTAAACTCATCTTTCGTCATGAAGGATTGCCTGCGTGGTAAACGTGCTCTAACATTTTTCGAATTGCTCCAAACGTTACCCCAAAAGTTGTTATCTGTATTGTCAATGTATTCCAATACATGTCTATTTTGAAAATCTTTAGCTGTTGGAGTACGTTTGAATCTGATGTGAAATTTTGTGCAAACGCACAGAAATTCTGCATGTGTACTGATGGAGTTTATAGCAATGCTTGAATAGGATCCTCCAGGAAAATGTTGACTCTGCTTGTCTTGTTGAATCACCATAAAACTGCAGTTTTTTTCCACCTAAAAAGACAAAAGTAGTAGTTAAAGGTAAAGTTAATGAGACCATGGACCACATATCATTTTGCTAATGCCTCTCAAAATTAGTCAAAAAGGATTTAAAAAACAGGATAACACCAGCTAGGAAAAAAGCCACAGTAAGAATCTTAAAATCTTACCTTTACCGACAGACTCTCCAGATGCCATGTTTCAGGACTGAGTTGCTCATTGTCACTCACTGACAGGCTTATATTGGGACAGGGAAACTTGGGCTGCAGCTGCAATGTTGCGCACAGTTTCCCAGATCCCTGCTGAGGATTGAGATTCAGAGATGAAGGACAGGTGAGGGGCAGTCCCACAGAGAGAGGACACAACGCCCACAACACGTAGAGGAGGAACACAGATGGCATCATTTCAGCCGCAAACTCATCCGCTGTGTGTGAGAGAGTAATCCACCCTGTGTGTCGGTAAGAGCACCAATAAAGAGAAGACGAGTGATCAGATTTGCAACTGGCAGATAAAGATAAACAAAAATCAAGACTACAATGTGTTCAAGAATGCAGTTAGTCTGAAAAAACAAGAATTACAATAAACACAATGAATGAAGTACTCATTTTAAGCTAACAGTTAAACAATTGGGGGTGGGTGATCCAATTTTCTGGAAAGGTGTGTATGTGTGAACAGGTCCTTTTTGAAAATACCGGTAAATTCGTTCTGGCTATTTTCCGGAAAGAGAAGTTGTAACATTACCGGCAATTTGCCGGAACGCTGCGCTGTGTGAATGCAGAAGGAAGATTGGCGTAATAAGCGCGTGCACGTCTAGAACATGCTGAAGTGAGACGTCTGCTTTAGCCAATCACAACAGTCAGACGCATTTACGTCTGCGCGGTTTATGAGAATAAAAGCCTTTGAATATTTTTCCAGACACATTTAGCTGCTAGAAGTTAGTCAGATCACGTTTATATGTTCTTCTTAATGCCAACTGTGTAAATAATCATCGATGAGATGCTTATGATAAGCCGTTGTTTGTTTACCTTCAAGCTTTGCGTGTGCCTGTGACACATATTATGAACATCTTGACATGCGAAAGTGATCCTGGGAAAGTTGTTCACAATATTGATCATCCACAGACTTTGTAATTTAGTCAAATGTTTACAAATACAAGCGCAGCCGTTTAAAGCTCATTTGTGGTGAATGATGTCAGAATTTACCGGTATTTTGGAATGGATGTGTGAATGCTCTTTTCCGGAAAATTTCCGTAACGTCCTCGCCTGTGTGAACAGCGCTTTTTTGAATATACCGGTAAAGTCGTTCCGGAAATTTTCCAGATATTTACCGGTATCACTGTGTGAAAGGGGCTATAGTCAAAGTGTTTTATTTTTTGCATCTGGCCACTAAGCATTTCTGAATCATATGAGTGACATTTCACTATTAACACAGAAGATCATCACCTTAAAAAAAAGAGCGCCATAGCACTGATAACCCAGAGTATTACACAACAATCCTCAACCAATTTACAGCAGCGACTCATCATTGTAAAAACATAAAACAAATACCATATACCCATAAATAATGACTATGAATCTTACCTTTTAAAGGGACAGTTCAGCCAGAAATAAAAATGATGTAAATATTTAATTTCATTTACTACCATTTACTTATTGCAAACCTCTAGGAGTTTCTTCATTCTGTTAAATACAAAAGAAGACATCTTGAAAAGTTTTGTAAACCTGTAACCACTGACTTCCATAGTATTTGTTTTTCCTACTTCGGAAATAAATGGTTACATGTTTCCAACCTTTTTAAAAAAATCTCTTCTTTTGACTTTAACAGAATAAAGAAACTCTTAAAGCTTTAAAACCACACATGAGTAAATTGAAAGTTTTGTGTGAGCTATCCCTTTAAAGTGTAGTATGAACAAATGACTCCTAACTGCTTTGTTTTAGCGAATCATGGTGGTGCCTTCACTTCTCCATGTTGCCAGTTAGTCCTTATAAGGGTCACATTGTTGGACTTGTTCTTAAATACTGACAGTGTTAATATAGTTATTTAGACTTTAATGAGGTGGAAAGTTGAAGTTCAGGGTTAGAAATACCCTATTCTATTTGCAACAATACAATATTTGAATGTATTCAGTGCATTTTTTCATGAATCGTTTCACAAGCAGAATTACCCCAATACAACTAATTTGAACTAAAACTACTGTAAAACACTTTGGTGTAAGGGTGTCACGATCCTCCAAATCCTCGATTTGATTACATTTTCGATTCTAAAGGCACGATTCGATTCGGTTTTCGATTATGAATAATTAATTATTGACCAATTAATTATTTGTTGCCTACCGTTTAAACTACCTGACCTGCATGGTCTTTGTTTTACCCATAAACAAATCATACAGTAAATGAATAAAGGCAAGTTACACACATAATTACCACCTGTCAATCACTTTTTTCTTGTGAATAGGCAGTGATCTGTGTCGTTATAATGGCGTCGGTAAAAAAGTCGCACAACCAACAGGAACCAGCCAACAGTATCTGAGGTGTGCGCTAAAATGACTAAGTACAAGTGAGTGAAAGATTGAAGCAGTCCTCTGACTGCCTGGACCTGCTGTCTCGAGCGCATGGCTGTGAGTGCGTCTGTGTCTGTGTGGTCACGTGATGTGCATTTTCAGAGGCAGAGAGGAAGGAGGGCTGCTCAGAAATGCTACACGCCACTGTGGATGTCAAATCGTTGTCTTTCTAAAATACCATTTAAAAACAAAGACAGTGTAAACAGGGCCCGAGTGTGTACTTTTCGCGAGTGGATTTGCAACGGGGGCGGGCAGAGGATCGCGATGCCGGTGTTGTCTATCGGACAAACCGTACGTAATACGTACATAGCAGAGCTTGCAAAACTGTGTTTTTTTTGTCGACAACACGAACGTTGTCAACATAACTCACTGGAAATCCAAAATGCTTCCACACCGGCGACTTCATTGAAAGAGGAGAGGGTTTAAGTTCTGTCGACGGGTCTCCTGCTTCTGCAGTTTAACAAGCACTTCAACAAGCCTGTTTTTTCCCGCTTGGCAAGCCAAGCTGACGTGACATGGGGGCGTGGCAGCATCGACGATTCTATTTTTTGATTCGATAATCGAAATTGAGCATAAATTTCGATCGATTACGATTAAAAATTGAAATCGTGACACCCCTACTTTGGTGAGTTTAGTTGGCTACACTAACAACGAAAGACAAACAAATTTATAAACATTCATTAAACATTCATGTAAATCATATAATGCATTTATAAAGTTGTCATCCCTATAAACAAAATGGTTACATCAAAAAATTGTAAAGCAATGCTGCATGAAGCAACAGTTAGAAATAATAATAATTCTTGTCATTTTTTAAGAAAATTATTGTGTATATCAAGGTGACATTTTAAGTAACTGCTTTCCTATTATGTATTTTCACATGAAATTATTACTCTAGTCATTATTGCTTTTATTACAAATACATTATTAATAATAATTAATAATAATTATTATTATTAGAGTGATTTCTGAAGGATCATGTAACTGAAGTTTGGAGTAATGAAGTTGAAATATCATCTTTAAAATCTCTGGAATAAATGATTAAATTAAATGATAAGCTACTTTTGAATAGTTGTTTCATAGTGCAATAACATTTCACAGTTTTACAAAATGTGCTGTATTTATGATGAAATAAATGCAGCCTTGGTGAGCAGGAGAAGCTTAATTTAAAACATTTAAAAATCATGACCCCGAACTTATACACACACACACACACACACACACACACACACACACACACACACACACACACACACACACACACACACACACTGTTGAAGTCAGAATTATTAATAATTCATAGCTCTCCTTTGAATTTGTTTTTCTTTTTTAAATATTTTCCAAATGATGTTTAACAGAGCAACAAAATTTTTACAGTATGTCTGATAATATTTTTTCTTCTGGAAAAAGTCTTATTTGTTTTATTTTGGCTAGAATAAAAGCAGTTTTTAATTTTTAAAGACAATTTAAAGGTCAATATTGTTAGCCCCTTTAAGCTATATTTTTCTCGATAGTCTGCAGAACAAACCATCATTAATAACTTGCCTAATTACTCTAACCTGCTTAGTTAACCTAATTAACCTAGTTAAGCCTTTAAATGTCACTTTAAGCTGTATAGAAGTGTCTTGAAAAATATTTAGTCAAATATTATTTACTGTCATCATGGCAAAGATAAAATAAATCAGCTATTATTAATGGTTTATTAAAACTAATATGTTTAGAAATGTGTTGTATTTTTAAACTGGGAATTCTATAATGTTTAGAAATCTTTCTTTTCTGTTAAACAGAAATTCAAGAAAAAATAAACATGGGGCTAATAATTCAGGGGGATGTTATAATAGGGTACAATATAGAAAAGAAAAAAGAAAAAATATATATATTCATTCATTCATTTTCTTGTCGGCTTAGTCCCTTTTTTATTCTGGGGTCGCCACAGCGGAATGAACTGCCAACTTATCCAGCAAGTTTTTACGCAGCGGATGCCCTTCCAGCCACAACCCATCTCTGGAAAACACCCACACACATTCACACACACACTCCTACATTATGGACAAATTAGCCTACCCAATTCACCTGTGTGTGTTTGTGTGTGTGTGTGTGTGTGTGTGTATATGTATATATATATATATATATATATATATATATATATATATATATATATATATATATAGTTTAAGTAATAAATTTGTTACTTAATCCAGATTTCTCATGCTGAATACACTGTACGCACTTTAACTAAACTTGACACTGATTAAAAAAGCAACTGGATAAAAATGTTCAGAATGTTATTCTATATAATGTACAAGTTTTTTTTTTTTGCTTTTATACATGGTCCTGACTCTATATTTTCTATTTGATTTGATACATTTATCTTAGATTGTGTCAAAAATATTCAGTACCATAACTAAAAAAGGCAAAACCTGGAATAAGACGCCTTGTGCTCAATAGAGATTATTTTGAAATGTTACAGTTGATTTGTTAGCTTTATCTCAAAATGTATCAGAGCTGGACTTAAGTGTATATAATGTTAAACAAGGAAAATGTGGTTTCAGTACCATTAATAAAAACAATAAAGCTAAAAAAAAAAACCCACTGTGCATTATAGAGGATAATATTCTGAATATGGTACATCTAATTTAATAACTTTATCCCAGTGTTGTCATTTATTGATACATTTAAATAATAATTACATTTAAATATTGAATACAGTTAGCACTAATTCCAAAAAGTCTTACGCAACAGCAGAGATGTTTTTCTAAACATGTTGGTTCTGGTGTTATTGTATATGTATATTTATTTTCTAGAAATAATCCTTCCCAGGAAGCAAAGAATTCTGGTTCAGATTTGGCATAAAGCTGGCACACCAAGCATTTTTCCAGCACTGGCATACAGCATGAGGGCCAAACATGTAAGTTTCATTTATATTGACCCACTTTTAGAATACATTTAAATTATTTTTTAGTAAATTAAAACTTCTAACAAACAGGTCGCTTTGAGAAGACACGCCTATAGCACGCTTCAAGCAGAATGCTTTATGGGTTTATCAAATTCATTGCAGTCGTGACACAACAACACATCTGGCCCAGTTCAGGCCCAGTTATGGGTTGTGACCTTGTCTGAGACATGCCCCAGGTATGGTTCATGTTTGGCCCTTGTATTGAAGCCAGACTTGGTCCAATCATGTACCGTAATTTACTGCGGCATGTGGGCAAAGCAAAAGCTGATTGTGTGGGCCAGCCAGATCTAGACCAAAGAAATTTTGCTATGTATGTTGTGGAACAAAGGGAGTATATATCGATGTTTATCTGACATAGTTGGGCTCAAATGTAACAACCACAAAATAAATTGAATTGGTTTGAAACTAACTTTACCGCCATCATTTAGGCCAGTGGTTCTCAATATGGGGGTCGGGACCCCTTGAGGGGTCGCGGAACAATGAAGGGGGGTCGCCTGGTGATTTCCAAAAATCTACTTATTATTATTAGGCCATAAGAATTACCATATTTTATCCATAACCAACTGAAGAGAAAAAAACAGTCGTTTATAGTTACTATAGTAGCTTATTTACTTGTTCTATTGGATTGCGACCCCTGGGGTAAATACATTATATTAAAGACACAGCAATAGCGTCAGATGCAGCAGATTGATTTTATAACACCAGGTTAAACTTTCTGCCCATTTACAGCACTGAAATACATTTTAAAAATTAAACGAAGAATAGACTTTGGTCTATTGGTGTGTGTGTGTGTGTGTGTGTGCACCATTGCATGCAAGTTTTCTGTATTTATAATCACCTCAGAGGATATTGGGGGTCGCGAGTCACTGGCATTGTTATTTTAGGGGTCGCGTGCTGAAAAGTTTGGGAACCCCTGATTTGGGCAATATTATAGTGGCTCAAGAGATCCAAATGTCATCTTTAAAACATCACTGGCAACAACACAACACAAAAAATTTATAAAATAAACACAAAGTATGAATAATCATGTTAAATAACCAATTAAAATGTTTTGTATTATATATTGTTATTCCAAATAAACTTAATGTTAAAACAAGGCAGAGATAAATAAACGTGTCTTACTTTGAAGTCAGTTGAGTCTGATGGTCCATCTGCAGAAATCTCTGTGAACGAACTCTATTTAACAACCTTTCAGCCGTCAAACAGAAACAAACAGAAACATCCTCTTTACTGGAATATTACACAATCAGTGTCTGGGCCAGAGTTTAACACAGACTGGAACTGAAACACATTTACAGACTATGTCATATAGGGTACATTCACTATATCACTGGCTAAGAGTTTGGCAAATGGAACAGTACAAACAGTGGCACCATAAAAAGTATGCCAGCCATGTCTTACTTTATTTAATGTTTTTAATGGAAGAGCTTGTTTTGGACTTTGCTACAGATAAAACACACAAAAGAGAGAAAGATCTAGATATTTAGACTGGGGGTGTGCAAAATATTTTAAGTCTTTCTACACCCTTTCTTACTTTTCCACCCTCCATATATTTCTCTCTTCCTTCCACCAAGATCCTTAGCCTCATACACTCTGTAAAGAAGAAAACTAGCTTTACTACACATTTAAGCCAGTCATATGGTAAAACTTGTCCTGCATATAAACCCCTACATTGTTTTGAAGGACATCCTGGGATTTTTAATGACCACAGAGAGTCAGGACCTCTGTTTGACGTCTCATCAAAAGACAGCACTCACTGAGCAGTATAGAGTCCCCTTCAATATACTGGGGTGTTAGGACCCACACAGACTGCAGGTTGAGTGCCCCCTGCTGGTCTCACTAACACCACTCATTTCCCATGTGGTCTCCCATTCAGTTACTTAACGGGCGCAGCCCTGCTTAGCTTCAGCCGGTTACTTTGGCCCCGTTTACACTAGTGCGTTTTAGTTTTAAAACGGCATTTTAGAATGAAAACGATCCGCGTCCACACTCGCGTTTTACCCAGCGTTTCTGAACTGCTCTCCGTCCACACCAAAACACTGAAAACGCATATCACGTGACCACACACACACACTTTGGCAATCACTGGAGCCCATCTACCCAGATGAGAGCTCTGCTAGTCGGACTTCTCATCAAGCATCTCCCGCTGGATCTAATCTCACTATATTTATTAAACGTGATATTTCATTCATCTTGTTGTCTTTATCTAACGACATATTCCCTGACTTTGGTCATTGGAATCTATTACTTGTTCTCAGGTAACGTGTTTTGGCTGAGCGCAAAGATAAGTTAATGATTAATGTAACCACGTAGCCTATTCTGTATATTGACTGATCGCTTGCCTTTATTTCCTATAATGTATAAACTTATTGTATGTTATACTTTTATAATGGCCATTATCGATTATTAAAACTGATATTCAGCAAAAGAGAGGGTTTGTTTCGTATTTTCACTGAAATTGAAAGGAGGCAGTTGTTATCGGCTCCGTTTTGTTATAAATATGCACACAGTGAAGATGACGCTCATGCAGCACGACGCCTCAACATTTCTGCTGTCTGTTTAGTTGTTAATATTAAAATAAAAATAGGCAGTTCCTTATATCAAGTTTACATTTTATTGTTGAGAAAGTGAAACAACATAGGCAAGGTGATGTGAATGAAATAATAAAGTACACGGTTCCCTGTGAAGATTGACGCGTGTCCTCGGTATGTTTTCCATATCAAACTGAGAAGAAGAGATGCAGCCTTGATCAAACTTGCGAAGTCTGAACTTACACGGAGAAGATTCAGGACTGAACTGTGTGTTAGGCTACTTAATATTGAGGAAAAGCACCAATCAGAGAGGCGAATGTCTGCAGCCCCGCCTCCGTTTTCAGATGTCTCCGTCTTTCCCCATCCACACTGAGACGGAGCAGCAGCGTTTCAGAATGAAAACGGCCTCTCCAGCGTTTTCGAAACGCTCCGTTTTCGGCGCTCGAGAACTCCGGCGTAGTGTGGACGGATGGCGTAACCGTAGCAAAACTTATGCGTTTTCAAACTAAAACGCATTAGTGTAAACGGGGCCTATGTGAGAGGTTCAGAGAGCTAGCTGCCGGCATCTCAGTTAGCATCTCGAAAGTCTGCTGGCATGTCTTCTTTAAACCAGATTTTGGATCTGATGCAGATGGATCAGGGTACCACAGAATTTGTAGATCTCAGCAGATATACCATCAGGACCAGTAGCATTTTGTTCTACATCGCTTTGATAGCAGTTTTGATCTCCTCCAGTGATGGTGTTCAGGCAAGTAAGTCATCGATGGGCAAGAATTTTTAAGAGTACTGAGTCGAGTGGTTCAAACAGATCTCTCTGCAGTTCCGTCAGGACTACAGGGTGCTCTAGCTTGATTGATGGTGTTAACCACCGATGCTGGTAAGTCACCCAAATCTTCTGTACTCTGCCTATAGACCACACATGGAGGTTCCAGAGATCTGGGCACAGGTGCCAGAAGGCCCACTGTGTTTCAGTCAAGTAAACTTGCACAGGACAGCACCAGCCTTGCTCGCTCTTCTGAAAGGCGCACAGTCATAGAGATTGAGTACAGCTCTATCCGAGATAGGAGATGCTCTGCACAGGGGAGAGCATGCTCTTCTCTCAGTTGATCTGAAGCCCCAACTGGTCGAGGTGCCTAAGCACCATGTCCCTGTGCATAATCAAATGATCTTGGGATGAAGTGAGTGAGTTTGGGGAAAACTTGCAGAGACAGGAAGAGCCCTAAGGGGAGGATTTTGTAATGCCATGCTGTAAAACCTACTCTTCATCTCGGCATCTCACAGTAATGTCTTCTCGCAAGACAGGGGTGGACGCGTGGCTGACCTTCGTGAAATACATGCCTGTGAACTTGGGAGGCCGTATTGCATAACCGAGTCTGATCATCCACATGAGCCACTGTGACGGGCTGGGCAACACTAACCAGGCTGGCAGAGCTTGCGCTAATAAGAGTCATCAGATCAATAACTGGTGTGCCAGTGGAGGGGCAGCTCGGGTGGGGAGTGCTCACTCTGGGAAGCGAGAAAGAGCTGAAAATAAAATATTTGCTCTTACCTTCCTGGATCCCGCGATGAGACTGGAGGAGTAAGAGAGAGGACACCGTCCTTTTGCACCCTCAGAGCTCGTGGTGAGCCGGAAGGCAGAGCATCCCAGACTGGCAAGGCTCAAGTTTGCACAACTGGAGAGAGAGAAAGCTACTCTTTTACTAGTTACCGCCGGCCCGGAAGCCATCAGTGGTGATTTTAAAGTCCCTGACATTACTGAATATGATACTGGCTGCGAAGGTGGAGCAAGTCTTGTGACCGCAGGTCTGTAAGAGCTGTATTATTCTGGATACTTTTTTGTGTATTACAACACTAGTAACCATATTCATATAATAAGGGAGTTTAGATGCATTAAAAGAGGTATTGATAGCTTTCAAGCAGTATAGACTTTTTATCATTCATAATCCTAAAAAAATACACTAGATTCCCATCAGGCCCTGTAGAGTTTCCTGATTGTAAACAGTTTTTATTTCCAATAGGGTGATGGGAGCTTCTAGGAGTTCTTATTGTATATCATTCATTTTAGCAATACAAATATGTGAAAAAGGTATTTTCTGATTTACTTTGTGTATTTACAGCCGATATGTCTAACTTATTTTCTGTTATTCTGCATGCCAAGGGATCCCTAACTGCTGAGATTTGTCCTTTTATGGATATCTTCTCAACTTGTCTACAGGAAACCAATTAGGTGTGTTTGCCTTGCAAATAACATCATTATCTGCTTACCTGGTGAATAGTTGATTTAAAAGATTTTAGTTCAGCAAAGAGTTGAGCTGATTTTAAGGAATGAAACTCTCCTTCTGTTGTGTTAATTCTCTTTTCAAGTTTCATTGCTAGTATAGTAGTTCCTTTTTCTTTCTACATTTGTAAGCAATTATCATTACTCTCTAAAAAGCCTTCCCGTAATGTTCTAGGGTCCATTCTATTTATACCATTACTTTGAAAATGTGTCATTGTCTGGTCTTAAATATTCAACAAATTTTCCATCTTGGAGATGGAAGTGGTTAAGTTTTCATATCCACGATTGATAATTAGCTCGTGGTGGCAACATAGTATTGGTTACAGATGCATGATCTGAGCCTACATCAGATTTCTCAGCCAAACTTGCCATCTGATTTGAAAAGAATATGTTATCAAGTTTAGCAGGTTTAATGGGGATATGAATAAAACGTGTACGCCTTAACAGTTTGGTTTAAAAAACTCCAGACATAGCTCCTGGCAATGAGTTTTAATAATCGTAATGGCAGTTTTAGGAGCTATGGCAGCTGCTGGTGATTTGTCCATATCTGGATTAAGATAACAATTAAAATCTCCCCCCAGAATTATATTGTTGCAGAGTATGCTATTTTATTATAAACCTAGGCAAAGAACTCTTCATCATGCATTTTTGAGGCATATATATTTGCTATCACAACCTCCTCTCCATACAATTGGCCCTTTATTATGACTATTCTACCATCTTTATCAGAATAGCTGGTTTGTAATTTATATAATCAATTTTGTGAATCAATATTATTATGCCATGCTTTTTGGATGAATATGACGAGTAATAAAGTTGACCAACCCAATCTCTTCCAAAATTTCTGATGTTCAAGGTCATCCAAATGGGTTTCTTGTAGTAACACAATATTAATTTGATCCCTTTTTTAAATATTTAGGATCTTCTTCAATCTAAAAATATTGAAAAAGGTGTTGACAACCCTTAACATTCCAAGCGCATATCCTCATGTTAGTTTTATAAGTACTCCTCATTGTAAAACATGTATGTATTGATTGTTTTAAAATGTACACACTGACCAGAGAAAATTAAAAAGCACACCAGTAAAAGGGTAAGAAGATAAGCCTCAAGAGACTTGTGTAAAAAACAAAACTGTGCAGGTCTACAATAAATTCTCAACTTGAATGAAAATATGGAAACACACACAAATAAACAGCATTTGTGAACTTCTCAGAGATAAACAGAGGGAAAGAAAACAGATAGGTAACAACATAGGAGTCTCGTGCTCATTATTTCATGGTGTGATATTTTGTAAACAAATTTCGGGAGGAGCGTCGAATACGTCATTGACAATTATCCCATCATCAAATCAGTTCTTGAACAACCCCTATATATACCAAAGCTGT